TTTTTTTTTTTTTTTTTGTTGTCTGTTTTAACACTGTTATTGGAGAGAATTACACAATACTGGTGTCTTGCTCTTAGGTGATTTTTCCAACATTTAGAATACTGTAAGGAATGTCTTCCTCTTGATCTTCTGAACTGAGAAACCCAAAAGGAAATCTGCTGCCCTCTTGAAGTCAGCGGGAACTTTGCTTGCATTAAGGAGAACTGGTTAGGACTCTTGACAATGTTTCACAGCTTGTACAGAGTTCTCCAACAGATTAGAGCTCATCTTTTTCACTATTCTTCTTCAGGAAAGAAGCGAGGATATTGAGRCTTTTCTGGAGCTCCTCCTTCTTTCCATCACTCATCTTGTTCTTCTCAATCAGCTTTGTGATTCGGACGACTTCGTTAGCAGCAAACTCTTCTCCCTGCTCCAGGATCTTGCTCATAATCTTCAAGTATTGCTCCGCTGACTTCTTCTCGGTCTCTTTTGCTTTTGCTAAATTCTCCTGCCCCTTTTTCAGCAGGGCCTGGCGGTCAGATTTCTCTGTGGTGCTCACAAATTTGCTGGCCAGCACATCGTACTCTTTCAGGCAGCCTGGCATCCCCAGGTAGATGCCATTACTCTTCAGCCAGCGCTGAATGGCCCCGGCCTTGATTTCACCATCATAAAGTAGAGGATTGTCAAAGTCACCGTTCTGGAACAAGTGAAAAACAGGGAACTTTTCCTTATCCAGCTTGTACTTCTCTCCCAGCTCAGTGTTCAGTTTATCACCATAATCTGTCAASGGAAAACAAAACACAGAAAAGCAGAGTTAATCAAGAATTCATTTAGGATTCCCTCCTACGCAAATATTTGTAGCCAGTGCTTCAACATGTCCTAATAACCTGGTTGCCAGGAAATCACAAAGCCACGGAAATATCCTGAGCTGGAAGGGGGGACCCAYAATGATCAACTTCCAGCCCTGCTCAGGACACCCCAAAATGCCACCCTATGTTCAAGAGCACTGTCCAAACGYTCCCTGAGCTCTGGCAGCCTTGGGGCCGTGACCATTCCCTGGARAGYCTGTTCCAAGGAAATGCCACACACTGAAACAAAAACACCTCATAAAAATCATTGGGTTTTCCAAAGAAAAAGACAAAGACTGTAATGGTTCTTTGCTGTGACTGTGAGAGTGTAAGACATTGGCAGACCTTTTCGYACAAACCCTGTCCTCCTTATGGGAAATCAATACGCTTTTTTCTCTTATTTTCCTCTAYCCATTGATTTTATCTGATTTTACAGTTAAATAAGAGTTTTTCCTGTCTATGTGCAGAGAATGTTCATTCTGACAGCACGCTAAGCTACAAGACATTTACTCATCTTACAAAAATCGTATTTATTCTTGAACACAGAAAACAAAGGCATTTCAATTATGCCACTTAGAGAATTCCACATATGTTTAGAAATATCAGCGTGGGTAAAACTTCACAGTTTGATAATTAAACCTAAATTTTTAATTCAGCCWACAAAGCCAGAGCATGTAAGGTGACAGTGATCTATTCTTCACTCCTTTTCTCTTAAATCCACAATCGCWTCGAGTTACAGCAGCCACAATGCAACAACTCCTTGCTGTGCTGCCCCAGGGTTTGCTGCATGGAATTAATCACATTAAATATTCTTTGTCTGACCAAGATTGTGGCTAAAACATGWTTCTTGTAAGGCCTGTTCCCTGCACACGGGACAAAAAGGTTTCTCTAAGCAAAGAAGGGGGAAAAAAAAGGCAAGAAGTGCTGGGGATGAGGAGGGTGGCAGCAGTTCAGCAGCGTGGGCTGACTCTTCATTACCMAGCCCAGATGGATAAGCAGCTCTCCCACGCACAGCCAGGCTCAGCCAGGGTAGGAACTCCTCTCTCAWATCCATTCCTCAGCCCCAGAGTTGCCTCAGAGCCTGCAGAAATCACACTGAAATTTATCCCCTCCTCACCAGCCCTCACTGTCCCCATGCACTCAGAGTTCCTCACCTGATATTCCCACTTCAGCTACCAGCAGATCCTCACTGGAGCCTGAGCTCTCCGCCAGCTTTTTGAACTCATCTTGTTTCTCGCCATAGGGATATTGTGTGTCAAACTTCACAAGGACAAACTTGTGCTTCGGAATAACCTACAGCCAGAAAAAAAAAGGGGAAAAGACAAAACCCGATCATTTTTTACCTGAGCAATCTAAAACTCACCAAAGGTTGCTTTTTCTTGTCCTTTTTCTCCTGTGCAATGTGAAGATGCAGAGGGAGAATGGAAATTTTATATAATTATGGCCTTTCAGAAATGACTCACTGTCGTGTGGAGGAAGGACTGAGCTTTGGGTGTCTGTGTTCCTTCATCAGATGATAAAGATAGTATGTAGTAGGTTTGGGGGATCTGATAATGCCTTTAATTATAATATTTGCTTATTGTAAATCTGACTGGCATCTTGGAAGAAGATCAGCAAAACATTTTCCAGTGGGATATGGAGAGGCAAATGTACTGTCATTCTGAAGTGTAAGAGCTGCACTTTTGGCTAGGAGAGGAAGCACAGGGAGGCAGTGGAGATGCTGGAATTGCACTGTTTCGGGAAATGGAGAATTCACAGTTTAATTGATTCCTCTTCAATTTTGCTCTGCTCAGATGATGCCTTTTCCAATGAGTTTGGCAAAGGACTCTGTCATCCCTTGAGGGATTTTACCCTCCCTGCAGGAGAAGACCTTGCAAAATCTTTTTGTTCTAGCGAACAGGTTTAGGTTGCAGCACAGCTCCCCACCTACACAGCGCTCTGCCAGCCCTGCTCAGGCACTGCACAACGCCTGTGCGCACAGGTGGCTGCAAGCTCCGTCCTGGGCCTGCCGAGCACTGTCCTCGTGGGGAGAGCACATGGTCCTGGGAAAATGCCTTCCTTGCAAAGTGATTTAGTGAAGGAAAAAAAAAAAAACAATTGAAAAAAAAAGCCTGTTGCTGTTTGATGAACAAGCGAAACCACCCAAGCAAAGCGCGCTCACGGCTCCGACTCGCTCCCTTCACGGTCCTGCCCTCTCTCACCGGCACGGGCAGCGCAGCACCAGAGCGGTCCAGTGCTCGCTGCCCGAAGCTCGGTGCTGGCCAAGGAGCCGCGGCTGCGGCCAGACCGCCCCGCGCCGGTACCGCCGGTACCACCGGGCCGGAGCGACCGGGCCGAACCCCCGCGGCTCGGCTCCACTTGGACCGCGCCGATTGGCTGCCGGCCGCGGCCACTGCGCTCCCATTGGCTGCCGGCCGCGGCCGCCGCGCTCCCATTGGCTGCGGCGCAGCCGCTCCGCCAGAACCGAGCGCTGCCCGCGCCGGTGGCGGCGGCCCCGAGCCCGCGGTTCCGCCGCGCCCCCCGCRTTCCTCCCGCGCCCCGAACCCCGGGACTGCCGCCGGCCGCGGGGCACACTACCGGAGCGGCTCCACACCCACCCCCCGAGCGCTCCGCCATCCGCGCCGCGTCCCGCCGCGCCGTACCTTGTAGAAGGTGATGGTGTCGAGCGGCACGGAGCCCTTGGTGTGCAGCGTGCTGCCGCCGGGCAGCACCAGGCCGAGCAGGCAGAGCAGCACCGAGCCAGCGGCGGCCGCCGCAGCCATGGCGGAGCGCGGAGGGAGCGGAGCTGCGAGGCCACGTGACGGCGCGACGGCCGCCGCCGGGGGCTCGCCCCGCCCCGCCGCCCGGGGCCACCGGGGGAGCGGCTGCGCTGGGGGCGGGCGGGGGCTCCCACGCCGTGCGGGGAACGAGCAGCGCGCACAGACGTCCCGCTCCCCGGGGAACAGCACGCGGGGCCGCGGCTGCTGCCGCCGGTGAGATAAGGACAAGAGAGCGGCGGAAGGCAGAGAAAGGGCAGGAGACAGGAGCGGGGCACCGGCCACGCAGGGCGAGCAGCYGTGGGGTGTGCGTTTCTATCCATCCAGGTGGGCATTGCCACAGCCCTCCCAAGCAGAGGTTTTTGTGCTGCCAAGGGAGATCTCATGCACTGCCAGCCCGTATTTGGACACAAGTGTGGACACAACGTGTCCTTATCATCGACAGACTGGATGAAAAGCAAGAAAACAATGCATAAAGARCAGACTGACAGCTCATCAAGTAAAAGCACTGATCCATACACACTCCCTCCCCCAGYAGACATCATTCTGCACCTAATCCCCACATGGAAAACAATGAGCATTTTCCATCTTTTTCCATCCTTCCTCTTTGCARGGTCTGCTTGTTCTGCACCAGCATAATCTGACTTCACCACGGGGCTTACAAAGACASTGCAGACGAGCCCTTGATCGCATCCAGACCATCCAGGCAGAAAAATGAGGCAGCAATACTGAGTTGTAACGAAACTGACTTTTATATAAATTATAAACCCATCCAGTTTAAAGCAGTTCAGTTGCAGTTGTGTCACTTAAGTCCGTAGAAGGCTGAGGCGTACATATCTCCTACAGTCATAAATTAACAATAATCAAGGAAGAGAAARTTCAGATAAGGCTGCAAATACAACAAAAAAAAAACCCTACCTTTACTAGGCGTTAAAATAAAGTCATGATTATCAAGGATTGCAAAATATAAATGCAATTTTCGAACAGTTAAAAAGTACAAAAATGATGGACAACACAAACAAGCATAGTACAGTTTGTCCTGTGTGTAGACAAAGCAGGGTAGATTTCCAACCTTTATCTACATCAGACACCGATTTTAAGCYGAGAGGAGTTGAGGAAATTTGTAAAAGGATCGTGGCTCATGATCCCAGTAGTAYAAAAGCAGTATTTTTTCAGTCTGTAAACAGTAGTCTTGGTAGTTTCTTCTAGGTATGTTTTTCAATTCAACACCCAAAGAAAATCCGAAATAAACAAAAACAAATCCTAAGAGTGGAAAAATGGGGAACAGCAGCAATGAGTTATAGCTTGAATTTCTTACCAGGTCCATGKGGGACATTTTCTGGAGGGGAAATGCTCTTTTGTAAGAAATATATAATATATTTAACTGTACACAATTTATAGGGGGAGAGAAAATCTCCCTCAGCCAAGTCCCCAGTCAGTCAGTACGGAGTCATTTTTGTACACGGTTTCCTCCTAGAGAAACTACACCTTGGGAAGAGGTGGCCTCTGCTTTTAGAAAACACTGAGTAATCCAAAAGTTCTGTTTGACAAGGTTGTCATTCCCAGGGGCTGGAAGTGGGAAGAGAACAGCAGCTGACACTGAGAACAGTCAGCATTCCCTGTGCTGGAAGTSAGTGAGCCATGGGTCCATCCTGTCCCAGCCCCTGCCCCAAATGACACAATTCCCTCCAGCAGTTTCAGTTCTGCTTTCAAGGGATGCAGGAAACCTTTTTTTTTTTTAACCCAAGTTCTGCTTTCAGGCACACAGGAACATTTTAAACGCTTGGTTCTCTTAACCTTGCACCAAACTTACATTGTCACCATTGCTTATTGATACGACTGAGTTCAGCCTGGGGTAGCAGCAGTGGAAGGAAACTCCAGCCTGGAGCAGCCCTGGGACTGTCCCCTCTGAGTCAACTTTGCTGGTGTTTGTGCAAAGCCCTGTGGAATCAGTGCTGCCGTGGGRAGGGAGGGGACAGGGACAGCAGCAGCACCACTGTGCCCCTGTGACTGAGAAGGGCAGTGCCCGTTTCTGGCTCAGGGCTGCTCCGAACTGCACCACCTCAGCATTGGGGCTGTTTTCACTCACCCTACACCTCTGACAGCGTCACCTTCAGTCACCAGCCTTGCTTTAATTCAAGGAGCACACCCTT